GACCAAAATTATGTTGAGTAAGAGTCTGGGGCCTGGTTTCATCAAGGCTGGATAGCGCTATCCAGTCCTTGATGAAACCGAACCCTACGTTTAACTCTCTTTTCGGGTGCTGTCTCTTTTATTATTTTAATTATAAAAAAAAAAATTAAAAAAGTAAGTGAGTTGAAGAATATTGTACCCTCTGTATGTCCAAGTGGAACTTTACTAGTATCAGTCTGGCAACTTCAGAAAAATAAATAAATAAATAAATAAATACTAGATTTATATGTTTTCACACAAAAAAAAAACATAAACGGACTACATTTCATACCTTTGTTAGGCCTACTGTCGCCCACAGCACCATCTCACATCCTCTAATCGATCTAGTTTATTTTGGTAGAAAATCTGCAATTTTTCAGGAAGTGAGTATGATGTCTAAAATGTTCATTTTAAATAAGTCAATGAATAGCTTGCGTCTACTTTCGGAGTGCCGCCAGGTTTTTAAAAATTGAAAAAAACCTTCGTTACGTCTTTTGGCAACGGTCACCATTTTTTTTATGTTTTTGTGATATTTTAGCCATTAATAAAATCTTCAATTCAGTTACAGTACGTCCATGATTATCTAGACGATATGGTGACAGGACACAGTTAATTTTTGTTACACAAAACATGGCAAAACAGCATTCTCTTAGAATGTAATTTACAAAACTTTCGTTACCAGGCATTTGTGAAACAATATATAGGGCTACTTGAGGTTTAGGAAAAGACGTGTCAATACCATAAACGTGCATCTCGTAATACCCCTTTAGCGCAGTTTAATTTTTGTTATTATTAATAACGTGCAAATATTGCCCAAAAGGGTTGTTATTTTGGAATCTTTCGTTACTGTAACGGCTGAAAGCTGAATACGAAATTTTCCCCATACTGACAAGGCACGAATTTTAAAATTTTCCATGATTTACACCAAAAGCTAGATTTATCACTTTCTGTCACCAGAGATTTAAAAAAATTAGAATTCGCAAATATACTCTTTAACCTTTTTTACTTTTCTGTTTTCTTCAAATGGACCTGATTATAAAACGATTTGCAGACAAAGCAATGTAAGTTTTCAGATAAGCCTGGTGCATATGATTTGAGTAAAAACTGTTTAATATAGTATCAGATTTTTTAAAAGTTAACGTCTGATTCGTGGTGTGAGCTACATGTTTAGTAGGACGTATACAGATACTAGGCCTTATTAGGAGTTTTAAATTTTGCCTATGTTACTTAGTAAATTTACCCTATGATATCAGTGGTCGCTAAAACAGTATACAAAATTAAAGTACACACCCCCTGTAGGAACGCTTCCAATCAACACGTCTGCCCTTATGTAACTACCCTGCCCCTACCGCTCCTTAAACAGTGGCCCAGTAGCAGAGGAAGGTATGGTGGGGAGGTCGAGAGACAGAAGTGGGGTTGGGTGTCACTAGAGGCCTACGTGTAATCACTCAGCTGGGCATTTGGAGTAATTCTTTTATGCTTGACTTTCGTCATTACATAATGTAGACAGGGATGTGCGTACTCAACACTTAGGTGTAAAATTGCCCCCACTGACAAATACAAATGTCTGACGAGGAACACGTTCCAGTTGACCATCTCAGTTCCAACAACAGGATCCGATACAAGAAATCTGTAGCAGACTACAAGCAGACCCTGTGGTCAGAGAGTATAGTAAAGTTACATAACGGGAGAGCAGTGAGACATGGGATGCATTCGTACGTGACGTCCCTGTATGACTTATTTCTACTCACCAGCCGGGGCGTCTATATAGAGTGAAATACGACAGGAGGACTAACCTATATGTCATGGGAATGTAAGGGCTCATTCCCAATGATACTTTCGTCCTACGTATAGTGATCCAACTCCACGGGGACTCGCACAGAATGCAATCAGATTAACTGAACGATACACCTCCTCCTGGATTTGAGTAGAATGTAGAAAAACTGGTAATTATACGAGTTCGTTGGAAACAAGAGGAGGCGTGTTAATCTTTAAACTGATTGCATTCAGCGAGAATCCCCGCGGAGTTGGATCGATATCTTCGGGAATGAGCCCTAATGGATATTCGAAACTGAGATAAAACTTCATTATAAAAATTAAATAAAATTATATAATTTGGAAGTTAGAAAAGATCACCAGTCAATATGAAGCATGATGTTGATGTTACTCTTAGTTGTTGTTAGTATGTTTCCGTATACTTATTTAAGACCTCAGCATTCCATTTGAAATCACCAAAGCTTGGTTGCACTGTTTGATTAGCAAGGCCAGGAAGGCCTGTCATGGTTAGTTCATTTCTAAGAGTTGGGTGGCATCAGTGAGCTTATTGATCGCTGGAACAAATGAAAGAAAAATTCAATCAAGGGGCTTATCACAAAGTTTGCCAGTCTCAGGCATTTAAATCAATGCCAAGTTTGAGCCTAAGGTTGAGTGACTGCTTTAATGAATAAATGCAATTAGTAGGAAATTAAATTTTTCTTTGTTATCCAAGTTGTTGTCACATGTTAAAAAAAAATGACCAACTTGTATTCACAAGACTTTTAATATACTATATACATCTTATGGACACGCGTTAAAAGAGCAGATAATAAAATGAATGGGTATGTATATATATCATGGATCAGCATTACTTTTTATAACCTTCGTAACTGTTTTCCTTCCCTATATTTATAGACTAAAATTGTATGTTATAATATTATTTCAGTTGTGATGTTAAACTTTATATTTAAAATGAAAAGTTTTCAGTGAGAAATGAATATGGTTGTATTACTCATTTTGATATTGTAGTGTGGATGTGTTAATACATATTTTTTTCCTTATATTTTATTATAGGTGATCCGTGAGCCAGGTTATGAACCTCAACCCATCTTTGAAAGTACTAATCTTGGTAGCTATGGAGAAACAACAGGTAAACATCTCGAGAGTTTCTGTTTCATTTGTTATTAAAAAAAAACACTTAGGTGTACTTGGCAAGGAAAAAGGTTCATATTGCAGTTATTAGCTCTTATTAGCTCTTACACCCCATTTCCATAGATTTTTAGATCGATCTATCCCTGTGGGGAGTCTCACTAGATTACTGTCAGCTTGGCCGGCTTAAGCATCTGTCCCGCCTACTAAAAGCTGTAAGGGGGTAATTAACTATGGTGTCGGCTCAGCTGACTGCAATTTAGCCTGAACCCCCAGGGAGTTAGGTCGATCTAAAACTTAATCTTTAGATCAATCTAAATCTCTGGGAAAGCACCCATAGTTACTGCATAAAAATTAAGAAGTTAGTGTAAGCTACTGTTTGTAATAATTTAGGTGCAATGTACAGAAGTGAAATAAATATGATCTGATTTCATTCACTTTGTGATGATATTGAGATAAAGATCAAGACTGTTTTTTTTTTTTTTTTTTTTTTTCAGAAACAGATGACTATCTTGATGATCCAGTACCATCTTATTCACCAAGACATTCCAGGACATATTCAGCACCTGCACCTAGGGCTCCAAGCCCTATCCTGTACAGATCTTCCTTACGTGATCGTTTCGATGAGCGTCCTTACTCACCATCCGCTGCAGACAGGATACGAAGACGTGTAGACACTGCCTTAGCAAGATCTCGTTCTCCATCACCATATACCTCGGTGAGTAATTTTTTTTTTTTTTTTTTTTTTTTTTGGCTGTACTATAAATTAACCATTAACAGTGCCAATGAACCCTGCCCCATCCCCACCCCCTGTGAAATATTTGAAAATGAAATATACTTTTTGGAAAATGCAACTTTTTGTGTTTTAAAAGTCAGTATACTGTATAAAACATTTTTTTCACCACTGTGACAGTTAAATGTTTATATTACAAATGCAAGGAAAAGGTTTACTTAATTTGTATTAGTTGATTTATTATTATCATTATTATTATTTTCTTTTATTAATCAGCCTAGACTACGTGGCAGCCATTACGATTCACTGGATGATCTCGCAGTTGAGTTTGAGCTTGCAAGAGATAGAGACAGGAGGTACTGAGCTGCGCTAAACCAGTGAGGTTCATTTTCAGTTTAGAAGTGTGACACATATGTAGTTTCTAGTGCTCTTACACAAGCAATACTAGCACAGCTTTTAGATTTTAGTCTGAAAACTACCTCTGATACAATTAATATTTTGTTAGGAATTTGTAAAGTTGTGACAAAAAATTGGTGCTCTGAGGTGAGATATTAAAATTCTGTGATTAGGAAAACAAGTTCATGAGCTAATCACGTCAAAAAGTTTCTGATGTCCTTATTTAAAGCAGGTCACATAAATTAAATACTGAAAAATATATATATTTAGCAATTTGAACAGAAAGGGTGGATCACTACAGTAACTGTGTCAGCATTTACGGTAAAGTCTTGAAAATTTCGTCGCTTAAAAATTAATTAATATTTTTAATTGTGTAAAACCGACTAATTTTTCAAAATTACCTCTCCCCGACTCCTGGGTATGACGAAATTTTCAAAAATCCGGCCTTTGGGCTTTTATCCTTAGCGACTGTTATCTTTGACCCTCCTATATTGTGGGATATTTAAAACTACTTCCTAAGTCGTTTTCTGGTGGTAAATAATAATATATTTATTACTGCATCTCGATTAAGTTAAATTTAACTTACTGTACCCGAAAATGTGTTGAGAATTATCTTCTCGGTAAGAAACATACCTCCTGATAGAGGAGAAGGATCAAGATAAGCTTAATTGCCTCCTTGCATTATAACCTGGCCGC